GGGGATAGGGTTGTCATGAGTTTCAACATCAAGAAGCGCAACTTTCTTCTGGCCAGTGTAGTGTCTAATTTCATTGAAGCCTCTATACAAATCGGATTTCAACTTTGTTCTCCAATTGTCAATGTCTGTTGAAGCTTACTACTTCTTTTATATTTAGGCTTCAGGACCTCATAGTGAGAAGAATCCTTCACATGATTGAATAGCCTAAAGTTAACATTTCCACACACATATATAGCTGCATATATGGATATGTATGAATATGTATATATTTTATAGGCTTGTTCCATTCTACAGTGTGTTTTTCTCTTTATACACCTGACAAATCTTTATTTATGAAAAAATATGTATGTGTTTTTGGTCTGTTCATCAACTTTTGGAAGCGCTCCGGTGGATATTTACCAAGTCTAAGTCTAAGTGAATTCATGTTCCATTGTTATACCATGAACGCTGTTGTTGTTCATCAATGTGAACAAATCTTGTTCGATATATATATATGTGTGTGTTTAGTTTGGTTTGTTATTGTTTTTCAGTCTTGAATTCAATGAATGGCTTTACGAACTTTGCCTGATTGAACCTTATGGATCTAGTTCCAAATCATCTTGTAAGTAAACATTATTAAGCATTGCTAAACTGTATGTGGTAGGTTGCTAGCAATCAAAAAGCTGTGTATTGATGGCATTAAATTAATTTATCGTAATGTTCATTCATGCATTCATTATTTGCTTTCACTTCGTCATAAAAACATTGTCATTCCATCTCTCAAGCCTCTCTGAATCAAGTATCACACGTGCTAAAGGCAGGGGCTGGACCATAACAGTTTAAACACATATTCCCCCCCAAAAAAAAACATCAGTTACGAGGTAGACATCAATCTTCAAGTATAAATCATGATACTCACCAATGTTTTTGACATTAGATTTTCCATACAACACTTGCCCTGACATAATATTTGTCAATAATGTTTTCTTCATACAATTGCCTGTCAAAACTTGTTTGGATTGGTTGACTTGAATTCATGTAGTCATAAGGGTGTACGCTTTTATGAGTTGGAGTTGCTGTCATTATCCTTTTTGATGGTTAAGTGGTCTACTTACGCCGACTTACGCTCTTGATGATTGTGTAGTGGGACGTGTGATTCTCATCATAGACCTTCAGTTAAATCAATATCATTATATGTTGCATTATTAACTTTTGTAGTCCTGTGCTTGACGATCTAGTCAATATTCAAGGTATCATCCGCTTGAAATACTGTTACACTGTTACATGTACTGAAACTACAGTACACCTTTGTTGTTTTATTCGGAGCAGTCTATGTCCAGTTTCCTGATAAGAAAATTGCACCATCTTGTTAATGTATATACGTAAAAGTTTTTTAGATATACATGAATATCTATATATATATATACACCGTATAAATATATATATATATACTGTATATCAAACTTGTTGTTGTGGAACATTTTGTCTGGATGATACTTTGTAACTGTTTCATACATTATTGGTTGAACACTGTATTTCAAACACTTGTTGCATTTGCGTTTGATGTTGGCACATGCCTTGTTAAGTTCATTTCATTTTGGCAGTTCACTATAGATCACCCCGCGCTTGTAGGGTCATATCTATTTATTAAAGTGGATTGGCACACGTGTCATTAGGTGTCCTACCTTGCTTGGCTGTGAAGTGCTTCATTCAATGAAAGTCATTCTCGATTGTGTTGTATCTCGTAGCTGGTAAGTGATGTCTTTTCAGTCTCCATATCCTCATCATCATCTTCATTACTTTCTCTTTTGAATAGACCCTCCACTCTTATGTTAAGCTTCGTGTTTTCAAAGCATAGCTTCTATATTCATGCGCGCTTTTGATTGGTGTAAGTGTCTTTTTGAGGAAAGTTCGTGCTTGGATTTAGTGTATCTAAATCTAAATGTCCTGACACCAATCACTACTTTCTTTGACATGTCTGCTGAATCATGAGTAGTAGTCCACGATATATTTACTGTAAAAATACTTTACAGTAATGGACTTCAAGTCTTTGAGTAGATATTCACGCGAAACCATCAAACCATTCAAAGAACAAACTGTCTAAATAAGTACGAATATATATATATATATCTACTTGAGAGAGGAGGGGGTGAACGAAAGGCAGCAGGCAATGACAAGTAACCCTGGTAGAAGTCCATGACGGCGTCAAAGGTGGATGGATGTGACCCAAACAGCGACGGAGCAAGGGGGGAATGATCAGGGCCCCCCTCGTCGAACAGAATCCCTTCTTACGGGACCAAATTTAATGCGCAATCCCAACTCCAGATTGTAATACAGTTTTGCTAAAGCAAGGAGAACTCAGGTAGCTCAAGCTATCTTTCGTGATTGGTCAAATAAGCGGGGATAACTGTACAATAAATGAGCAGAAAGAGACCATCGCTTTTGATGCTATTGTATAAACTTAGTGACACACTGAATGAAACTTATACGCGATCAAGACAGAAATTGCAAAGCTTTCAACACAATTACAGTAGTGACTATTGCAGCAAAGGAAACAGTACATGTGGCATATGCAACCGAGTAACCAAAACAACTGATGAACCAAAAAGCTTATAACATGTGTATATAATATATGTATACAAATGATACTATCCGAGAATTACGCAAACTTCATACTTCCGATGAAATAGGATAATATATGTGACGTCATTGAATCAGTTTTATGTTTCAACTGATTTTTTTTTCTGTCGTGCCTTTTCGTCAGCAGATCAGTCGGCCTTTTTGGCCCGGAAACACGTGGGAAGCCGTGTTTGGTGAAAGCTTTCACCACATGGGGCCCTAAGATTCTTGCTGGGCTGGAATCCGTCGCCGTTGCGAATGGCCTGAGCTTTGCATTTGCGACAGCTTAGCTTGCCGCCTTGCCTCCACATTTCGTGACTGTGGTGCCCAGCCCATGTGGCATCGCCTTGCCAAATGCCATT